GTTCTCTTAAATTTGATCGTCTTTGTCTTACAAGAATAATGCCCAAGACAACTAAATTATTGACACAACCATGGGTAATATGCATTTTAGTAAAAGTGATTTTGCCTATGAACATTTTCTTCTTCCCTTTCCACAGTGAGGCACTTTAGTTGTGGACGGCCACAAAGAGCTTCATTCATGATGAAAGATTCAGCAGTCAAATTTGCAAAAACTCCACCATTTGGAATCTCTCCTTGTAGTTTGTTGTAGGAGAGGTTGATATACTTAAGATAAGTAAGTGACTCCAAGGATTTGGGGATCTCACCAACTAAATTATTCTCAAAAGGTCCAAATTTACTAAGCTTAACATATTCAAATGATTTGGAATATTCCAAATGATTTAGGAATATTTCCTTGCAAATTGTTATGTGCTAAGGAGAGATCTTGCAAGTTCTTTAGTCCACCCAAAGATGTTGGAATATTGCCTGAAATATGATTTCTTGACAAATCCAGTGATATAAGAACATTTAAGTTTCCAAAACTTGATACATTTCCAACTAAAATATTGGAAGACAAGTTTACTTTCAATATGTCTTTCAAATTCCAAAGGAGGAGGGTATTTTTAAAATTAACTTATTAGAGTCCAAGTAAAGTTCTCGTAAAGAGGTAACATTTCCTAAACAATGTGGTATTCCTCCAGAAAACTTGTTTATGCTTAATGATAAATAGGCAAGCTTTGTGATTTCACATATCTCATCAATGATTAGGCCATGCAGCTCATTGCCTTCAAGATTCAAATATTGAAGATCCTGAAAGCCACCAATTACTTTTGAATTGATCCTGTCAAAATATTTTCTCCCAAGTATAGTTCATAGAAACTAGTGAGATTCCAAATTTTGATGGAAGATGGCCAATTATAGAATTGTTTCCAAGATTTAAGCATCACAAAGTTGAAATGTTAAAAATGTTGGACGGAATAGATCCCCTCAACTTGTTATCTGACAATGATAATATCTCAAGCTTATGGAGATTGCCTATTTCCATAGGTATGAAACCTGTATTCAAAAGATTAATTTTAGTGAAGTTATTTAAAGTGAATAATAAAAATAGTAAATAAGACAAATATCTAACAAATGAGATGTATCATTGTCCATACTCCTTTATATATTAGGTCAGTCAA